CTTCTCCATCTAACATGCTGCTGCCAATTGGCCCAGTGGTGAGACTCTTCGTCTTCTTTATGTTGAGCTTCAGTCCATATTGAAGACTACAGCCATTGACCTTCCGCAGCAAGCATTTCAGGTCTTTTTCATTTTCAGCAAGCAAGGTTGTGTCATCTACATATCGTATCAATTACATAGTGGTTTGCATACATACATACTTTGTGTTTTACATAATCCTTCACTCACATTGTGCTCATACAATCATTCCCATACGTTGTGTTTATGATGTACGCCCACCACGAGCTCGTCTTTTTAGGTACACACTGCATGTTTCCTAATTCCTACACCACACCCACTCCCTCCAACCATCACACTCTTCATGACCTGGAGGAAATCCACAAAATATTGTCTTTCTTAAGTCAAACACTTCCCCCCGCAAACCCCCATTGGTTAACAAATGATCCTTTGTTGAAATATTTTCATCTGTAGTTCCTTAGCTAGCTGGGCATTCCACAGCAACACTGTTGATGTCTTCTGTGATGTCATGAGGGTGACGGGCATCAACATTGCAGCCCACAGATTGGGCAGTTCCCAGGATTTCTTTAATAATTCCAGAGAGTTCTCTGACTGAAGACCGGTGTCGCATCTGCCGGGCAATGTCAACAATCTCATCAAGAGTGATATTTCCACTGTGCTTCATATTTTTCTGCTTCTTTCTGTCTCTGGGTGGTTCCTATAGGGCTTTGATGATCAAGGCAGAGGCAGAAGGTACCACTTCAATGTGGACCTGTCTGCTGTGAATGGTCAGTTTCACTGTAATCCTTAGTGCCTTCCGGTCACCGGTGGCCTTGGCAATGTCATCACCAACCTTTTAGGGAAACAGACCCAGGGGCCCGATCTTGGGGGCCAGAGTGGAAGTGGCACCGACGTCGCCACCGGTACACCTCAGGTTCACCACTTTAATCTCGCTGGGGTCGAACTTGGGCGCCACGGCGGAGGTGGCTGGTGTTGGATGAACCCACATGTGGGACGACCGAAGAAAGTTGCTCCTAGGCCTCCTGTGACCTGAAAGCCGAAAGGCCGGAAGCGCCTGTGGCCGTGCCGGATAGAAGTCAAACACTTGTATATGACAAAGATTGCTTCAAAGTCTTTAAATCTTCTAGCAGAATTCTATTTTCAATTTCCAGAATGGCAATTCGTTCCTCCAGGGATTTCACATACTCTTTCCTCCTTTTGCGAAATTGTCGAGAAGCCTCTCTATTTTTCCTCATTCTGATTTCTCTTTTGGCCTGGGAGTCACCCTTCTTCATTGTCTGAGATGGAAGGGTAGGAGGAGTAATTATCACCATTTGTGGTGGCGACGTGGCTGAAAGCGTGGTAGGGAGCACATAGGTCTCCTTATCTTTGGATGCTGTCTGTACAAGCATCTGGCTTGAGGGCAGTAGTACTTGCAATCCACCAAGGGTCTCTGTGTGAGGCAGCACTCCACCGTGCTGAGCGCTGTCTGAATTTGTCAGGATTGCTGTCTGCGGTTCCTGTGG